AGTACGAGGAGGACGAGGAGGACGAGGAGCAGGAGGAGGAGGAGGGGAAGGAGGAGGAGGAGGACGAGGAGGAGGAGGAGGAGGAGGAGGAGGAGGACGACGACGAGTACGAGGAGGAGGAGGAGGAGGAGGACGACGACGACGAGTACGAGGAGGAGGAGGAGGAGGAGGAGGAGGAGGAGGAGGAGGAGGAGGAGGAGTGAGGAGGAGGAGGAGGAGGAGGAGGAGGAGGAGGAGGAATAGGAGCCGCTCACAGAGGCGCGCGGCCATGCCCTCCGCTCTGCCGGGGCCGCGCCTTCCCCTCGCGGGAGGCACCCGCTCGGGTGTCGTGCGGCGGGGCTGCCGGCCTGGGGCCCTGCCTCGAGCTTCGGACGCTGCGTACCTGGCCGAAGTGATCGTTGTTTATTTATTGTGTGCCGGTCGGCGCGGGCCTTCGCACCCCCTTTCCCCCCTCGTGGAGTAGATCTTGGCTGGTTTTTTGGCGCCGTGGAGTCTCCACCACTGGGCGTTGCTTTTTGTTTAAAACGCATCCCCTGGCCCCCGCTCGTCCGCACACACGCCTCGGGCAGTGTGGCGTGCCACCCTCCCCCCATCCGCTCTCCCTGGCCCCCTTTCCATGGGCGACCCCCCGACCTCGTGCCCTCCCAAACTCGCTCCCCGCTCCGACTCCTCTCCGCTCCGACTGCCCCCGTCCTCTTCTCCGCTGTCAGGGTGTTGCTACAAGTGTCCCTGGCCCAAGGTGCCCCCCCGATGCTCGGGGTGGCCCAGACGGCTTCCAGAGCACCTTTGTCGAGGCCCAGACGGGCCCTAGGGGGTCAAGAATGGAGCGAAAAGCTTGGGGCACCCTGGGCCAGGGGCACGTCTAGCGACCATGGCTCCTCACCTCAGGCCGGGGGATCCGAGGGGGGAATGGCCCAACAGGAAGGATCTGTGGTGCGGGAACCTACCACCTTTCACGGGAGGGGGCAGCGGGGAAGGAGGGGGTAGCGCAGGGAGGAGAAAAGGAGGTGAGTTGATGGCGAAGAGGATGATAGGGAGGGCCTCTTCTATTCCTATTCCTCCACGCTTCTCCTCTCTTCACCCGCCTTCCGATCCTCCCTCTCTCCCGTATGATCGCCCCCGACCTTCTGTCCCACGCCCGCTTGGCAATGTGACGACGTGTGTGTGTGTGTGTGCGCGTGTGCGTGTGTGCGTGTGTGCGTGTGTACGTGTGTGCGTGTGTGCGTGTGTGCGTGTGTGCGTGTGTGTGTGTGTGCGTGTGTGCGTGTGTGCGTGTGTGCGTGTGTGTGTGTGTGTGTGTGTGTGTGTTTGGTGCGTGCGTGCGTGCGTGCGTGCGTGTGTGTGTGAGAGAGGGAGCGAGAGGGTGTGTGTGCGCGTGCGCGTGCGCGTGCGCGCGCGTGCGCGCGTGTGCGCGCGCGCGCTCGTGTTCGTGTGCGTGTGCGTGTGCGTGTGCGTGCGTGCGTGCGTGCGCGTGTGTGTGTGTGTGTGTGTGTGTGTGTGTGTGTGTGCGCGGGCGCGAAGATGAGGAGGAGACGGGGCGTTGTCGGGTCGCCATCCCACCAAACACAATTGAGCTTGGCGAAAAACCCAACCGCGTGCAGCTGTGAGCCCCGCAAGGGAGATGAGACGACTCTGTATCGTTTAACCGACCCCCATCCCCATCCACATCCCCATCGAGACCCCCACCGAATTACCCCCAGTTGGGGATACGCCCCTCGAAACTCGAAGGGAACGGCCTATACCCCCATCTAGGAGGGAACATCGGCCAGTGGGGCCCAGGCCACGCCGCTGGGGATGGCACTCGGATAAGCGATGCTCAACGACGGTGATTGGCGAGCAAAGTGTGAAAACACACACACACACACACGAAAAAACACACGTGGGGAAAAACACACACACACACGTGTGTTTTTCCCACGTGTATTTTTGTGTTGTGTTTTTTTGTGTGTGTGTGTTTTGTGATTTTTTGTGTTTTTTGTAACGCAGGACACACTGCCGCTGCTGCTGCCGGCGGCAGCGCGCCGCAGGGCAGTGCTGGTATGGGGGCGGCGGGCGGAGCGGGCGGGTCTGCCAGCAAGTTCGACCACCGTGTCGGTGAGACCCGGCGTTGGGACCCGGCGTTGGGGAGTACGAGGAGCTAGCGCTCAATTCGGGGGCGGAAAAGAGGGGGGTGATGACTGGGGGGGGGGGGGGGGAGATCATGGCGGGGGCCATGATATCTCCCCAGGTTTCGTGGCGCCTCTTCTTGATTCGTTACGTCCCCGGCCCCCCCGCTGGGCCGCGCACATGCCGCCGGTCATGATTTGCACCCCCCCCTCTTGGACACCCCCCTCTTGGCCGCTCCCGATCAACGTCTGGCAGGGGCGAGGGAAAATGTGGGGTGCGAGAAGAGCGAGACCTAAGACCACGAAGCGCCCGAGAGGTGTGCCGACGTGAGAGGCGGGGACACGCGCGGATCCTGCCAGTGGGGGCTCTGGTGGAGCTCCTGATGGCGTCACGGAGCGCGTGAGGGGTATGCCGAATCGGGGACGGGGACGCCATCTGAGCGCAGCCACTGGAGCCTTCGGAGGAGCTCTCGATGGAACAACGACGAGTGTCAGAGGTGTGCCGGATCGGGAGCGGGTACGCCATGTGAGCGCGGTCGTTGTGCCTTTCGGTGGAGCCCCCTTATGCGGCCACGAATGATGAGGCCATGCGGAGTGCAGGGGCAGGGATGGTGGGGCGGATGAGCGGGGCGAGGAAGGACGAACATAGTGACTCGATGCGCTGCCTCAAAACGCGGTCCCAGCAGCACAGGATTGTCGGTAAATTGGACTTCCTCAGAGCCGAAGGTTCGGAGTGTGGGCTCGAGCTGCCAGGCTGGCTGAACCGACCGTCCAGGGTGTCCTTTGCCACGCGGAGAGGGGAGAGGATGAAGCGGCCGTCTTCGGGCACATGGCCTTGCAGTTTGGAAGCTGTTTCCCCAATCATCATGTGGTGTTGAGTTTCGTTTTGAAGAGACAGCGCCCCGCGTTCCTCCTTCCCTTCCTTCCTTCCTCCTCCCCCTCCTCCCTCCTCCCATCATCACCATCACCATCATCACCATCATCATCACCATCATCATCATCATCATAACCATCATCAACATCACCATCTTCATCATCATCAGCATCATCAGCATCATCATTATCACCGCCATCATCAACATCAGCATCATCATCGTCGTCATCATCATCGTTACCATACCATCGCCGTCATCATCACCATCACCCCTCACACGGTTCGTGGCCCCACAGGGAGCACCACCGAGGGCCCTAGTGGCCGCGTACGCATGCGCCCTCCCCGCCCACCGCATGCCCATTTCGGTTCACCCCACACACGGTTCGTTGCCCCATAGGGAGTTCCACCGAAGGCCCCAGTGGCCGCGTCCGCATGCGTCCTCCCCGCCTACTGCCTGCACATTTTGGCACACCCCTCACACTGTTCGAGGCACCATAGGGAGCTCCACCGAAGGCCGCAGTAGCCGCGTCCGCGTGCGCCCTCCCCGCCCACTGCATGTCCATTCTTGCACACCCCTCACACGGCTCGTGGCCCCACATGGAGCTCCACCGAAGGTCCAAGTGGCCGCGTCCGCATGCGCCCTCCCCGCCCACCGCATGCCCATTTCGGTTCACCCCTCACACGGTTCGTGGCCCCATATGGAGCTCCACCGAAGGCCCCAGTGGCCGCGTCCGCATGCGTCCTCCCCGCCCACCGCATGGCCATGTCGGCACACCCCTCGACGGTTCGTGGCCCCATATGGAGCTCCACCGAAGGCCCCAGTTGTCTCGTCCGCATGCGCCCCCCCCGCCCACCGCATGCCCAGTCAGGCACACCCCTCACACGTTTCATGGCACCATAAGGAGTTCCAACGAAGGCCCCGGTGGCCGCGTCCGCATGCGCCCTCCCCGCCCACCGCCTGGACGTTTTGGCACACCTCTGACACGGCTCGTGGCCCCCTATGGAGCTCCACCGAAGGCCCCAGTGGCCGCGTCCACATGCGCCCTCCCCGCCCACCGCATGCCCAGTTCGGTACACCCCTCACACGGTTCGTGGCACCATAGTGAGCTTAACCGAAGGCCCCAGAGGCAGTTGCGTCCCGGCCCCAGTTCGGCACATCCTTCGCACGTTCTGTGCCCCAGTGGTAGTCCCCGCATGTCGGCACACGCGCTTCGTGGCCTCATCAGGAGATCTACCGACGGCGATACTAACAACGACGGTATTCACAACTGCATATGGTTAGGTCCTTCGCCAGGCTGGTTTTCCCCAGCAGCGGTTTCGGCTTGCCAATTGGGCAAACTTGCGGGGGAGGGGGCAGGGCCTAAACTTACCACCTCCCTCCTTCTGGGTGCCGGAGTCGGCAAAACTAAGGAGAGTAACTAGCAGCAGCAGTTGTCGTAGGAGTAGTAGTAGTAGTAGTAGTAGTAGTAGTAGTAGTAGTAGTCGTAGTAGTCGTAGTAGTCGTAGTAGTCGTAGTAGTCGTAGTAGTAGTCGTAGTAGTAGTAGTAGTTAGTAGTCGTAGTAGTTAGTAGTAGTAGTAGTAAGTAGTAGTAGTTAGTA